AGGTTTACAGCAACAATCTACTTGAAACTATTCCTATGAACGAAGTGCAGTGCAGGAATTTAAAGTACAAAAAATGTAAGACTGAAAATGTAAAACTGAAATAAGTATAATAAGATTGATTTTTTGGATTTGAGTCTGGGTGATTTTTCTGGGGCCTTCTCAGCTATTTATACTACTCAAGGATGACCATCGAACTGCATTTCTAACCGCCAAACTGCTCCTCCATGATCGCTGATCATGTTGCCTCAAGATTAGCTCCATTACGCCATTACTTGCAGTTAGGCTTCCCTCCTCAATTTGAATTTGAAATGTGAGTAACTATTAAAGCCACATCACCTTACATCTCTTTATTAATCTACTGCTACTCAGATCTCGTAACAACCAATACTAATTGCCACGCGTACGATCAAGATCGAAGACTTGAATAGTCTTCCCATATTACTCTTATTTTGTCACGCGTCGAATTGTAATTGGCTTGTACAAAATATGTAGCCAACAGAATCTAAGTGTCGTTTTGAGAAGTTTTGTAAAAAGTCACGTTTTTTATCCAAGGCCAAAAAAGCTGGCAGCCAAAAACGCTGTGAATTTCTAGTTGGGGAGAGAGCAAAAATGTAAGTGTTAAAATTACAAATTAGGACCTATGATAAAAAAAAGTAAAAAAATAAATTTCTTATGTTAGGTAAGGGTATTTTGGTAATTTTAATTTGATTTGACATCATAAACAAATATTAAACCAAAAAGTCGAAAGCCAGCTTTTTACCAACTTCCCAAATCACTTTTCAAAAAGTTAAAAAACTTGGTAAAAAGCTAAAAGCTAGTTTTTTACCAACTTTTCAAAACACCCATAAATTATGCATTATTTTTTTAATTTTTTTTTCTTGATTTGAGTTATTGATCTCTGTTATTATTATTGTTTTAATTAAGAAAGTGCAAGTAAAATATATGCAAGTTTTTTTTTTTTTTCATCTACAAAGTTCATATGATTGACATATTCTTAGTTTTTCGGATTTTTCTAATACTTTTTGAAATTGTTAAAGTTGATTTCTAATCGGAAATAGGCCTGCCAAAAAATGTTTTTTTAAAAAAAAAAAATAGAAAAATGAAATTTGTTAGCTAAGAGATTGTCTTTTCAGTAAGTCACTTAAATTTTATTCATATACTTAGATGCATCTGAGGGTTGTTTTACTTATAATTTATAAGTTGGCTTTTTTTATTTATTATAAAAAGATGTGAAAAAAAAAATAGAGAAATTATATAATTCATATAAGTCAATAAGCAAATAAACAATTTATAAGTCATATTATCAAATTAGCTCTTAATTCATTATTAATTGATTTTAAGTTAGATCTTATTGAGTGTTTTCTTGTGGACTAAAGTTTTCGGCCCATATCCGTTTCACATGAAAGTTTAAGAACGCAAAAAATAATCACAAATGAATCGCGAATATGAGATTTTCGAGATCTTTGCTCATTATTATTTTTTGTATAATTTCAGTTATATAAATTTTTAAATTGATAAATGAGAATAGAGATAGATTAGTTGCACTTCTTGTGCAATACTTCAACTCAAACATTATACTTGATAAGATAGTGACTCATCCATTAATCAACTATGTAATGTTACACAATTTTCGCTTATACTCATTTACATATATTAACTTACAATTATTTTTATTTTATTTTATTTTTTATATATCCAATATCCTTGGTTGTTCTCTCTTTAACATAAAAACGAAAAAAAAAAATCATAAAAATTGAACGCAAAAGAGACACCCTATTGCTCCTTAGGGTTGGGGGTTGGGTGTGTTCAATTTGCAATTTACAACTACGTTGTACTGTAAAGGTTGTTTTATCATTGGGTGGGGTTTTACCTTACCTAGTGAGATGACATGTCACCCAAACCCAAAAAAAAAGAAAAAGGGTGCACTATTACGTTTAGAGAGGGTAAAAACAAAAAGTACTATTATTCGGGAATAAATGTATTCTGATTAGAGTTACGTGCTTTACCCTGTAGCCAAACAGCACTTTTACATTCCAGGACAGAGCAAAAAAACATAACGCCTCGAGGTGCTTCTGTCGTGGGTCCACTCATCTCCACCTACTCTTTTTGACTCCTCTCCTATCCTCCCTCTCATCTCACAAGGGTATTGCTTCCAAATTGGAGGGTGCTTTGGGAATTTTATTTTATTATTTTTGGTAAATATATCTTTTAAGGGAACTTCTATTTGCACACATCATTTTCCCTCTTCCCTCATATTTAATGATATTTTTTTTATTACATTTTTGTCTTAAAAAAAAATTATCAAAATATCCCTTTCTTCTTCAACCAAAACCCTAACCCTAATCGCTCCCTCCGTCGCCTCCTCCACCCCTTCCGTTGCCTCTTCCACTAGCTCCCATCTTTACGAATGGAGGGCCTTCCCTATCCCATCGCTCGTCGCTCACACTCCTTAGTCCCTCTTTTCTCCCGTTGCTCATCGCTCGTTGTCCACTTTCTACCCTTTTCGAACCAAACACGTTGATTCGGAAGTACAGTGTTGAACCGATGTGTTTTGTTCGGATGTTGATGGTCAAATCGATGTGTAATTTTCAACCCTGGTTTAACGAACGGCGGATGTGTCGTGATGGTGGGTCACCGCTGCGATGGTGGTAGTAGCAAGGACGAGGGGTGGTCGGCAAAGGGGTTGGACGGATGTGTGGGCTGCGATGGCAGGTAGAGGGAACGATGGGACGATGACTAGAAACGGTGACTGCGACCATGGTGTTGCTGATGGTGGTTGATTTAGGGTTAGGGTTTGGAGAATGAAAAATGTAAGGGAAGGTGGGTGGATTGGGTGTGTTGGAAAATTGTGTGTGTGTGGTTTAGATATAGGGTATAATTGAAAGAATAATGTGTGTAATGAGTAATATTTTTTTTTTTTTTTTTGGGTGTGTGAACTAAGAAGGATGTGTATAGCGAGAAAATGGTATGTGCAAATAAAAGCTCCTATCTTTTAAACTCTTTTTTTTTTTTTTTCTACACATGATTTATGGGTGTAAAATTAAATTTAAAAAAGTATGTAAAAATCTCATATTAATTCCGTTTGGAATAACTTATTATAAATTTAAAATTAATATATAAATTAAAAGCAACCTTTCTCATATTTTAGATAATTAACTTATTTAAATTATTTATATCCAAATAAATTATAAGTAAAAATTATATCAAACAGTACTATCAAATTAAAATAATTTAAATGGATTAAAGGATCCCATTACTAAGATGTAGTTAAATACACTCATTAAACTACATACATTATATAGGGCAATTCTTATTGCATTTGATCGAGATAAACGTAAAGAAAAATTAAATAAATGTATTTAGTAACATAAATGTGTAGCATGTATATATATGGTCTATTTTGACAATTAGATAAGAAGTTTGTTTATTAATTTTTTAATTTTTTTAAATCAATTACATTTCTATTTTTTTTTTGTACGTTTTAAAAAAAAATGTTAAAAGATTGACTTTTAACCTACTTTTCAAAATAGGCTGTTAGCACGCACTAAATAAATAAGTATAAATTACACTAACGGTCCCTATAGTTTGAGACTTGTGTCACTTTGATTCATAACTTTTCAATTGTGACACATTTGACCATGAATTTTGAATCTTGTTTTAAATAAAGGACAATTGAAGATACCATTTATTAATTTCAAGGGTAAAATTGTCAATTTGATAAAATATAAACTAATTTGACAAAAATAAATGTCAAAAAAATATTATTGAATTTTTAAAAATTATTTTTACACACTAAAGATAAAATTATGTAACATTGATATATCTTTTAGACATTTATTTATTTATTTATTTTACTAAATTAATTTTTATTATATGTTTTGATGATAATCATGTAATGCGTGGTTGTTTTTATTTTCATTAAATTAGTTTTTATTTTTTCAAAAGTTAAATATCGCGACAACTTTGATATCATTATTAAATAAATCCATTAAATCAAAAAAATCTAAAACTAAAAATATTTCATATATTAAATATATCGATTACACATTAAAATTCTAACAACCAGTCATTACATAATCATTATCCAAATACATAATAAAAATTAATTTGGTAAAAAAAAATAAATGTTTAAAAGATTTATCAATTTTACATAATTTTATCTTTTGTGGGCAGAAATCATTTTTAAACATTTAAAAATATTTTTTTGACATTTATTTTTATCAAATTAGTTTATATTTGATCAAATTGACAATTTTGCCCTTGAAATTAAGCAATAACATTTTCAATTGTTCTTATTTGTAATAAGATTCGAAATTTATGATCAAATGTGTCATAATTAAGTAAAAAATTAGTAAAAAAATTTGATTTCATACTATTCACTCCAATACTAAAATTAGAATTTACATTAGCTTGTTTCACATCTTGGGTTGTCCAGGAAGACGTTCGGACATGAATGACAAAAAAGCTATCAAATTACCTTTTAAGACATTTGGTCTAATAGTAAAAATTTAAATTTGATGAAAAATTAATTTTTTTTTATTTGACAAAATATCTATTTTTTCCTCTATTTGATATCACTATGATAAAAACGTTAGAGCTCACTTTTAAATTTTTTTATTTATTAAATTTAAATTTAATAACAAATTTAAGTAAAGATAGAAGATTGTCTAAATAATCTTATAAACTGCACCAAACAAGAGGCAACAATCGTAGTGATGGGGAAATGATATTACGGCTGGTTTGAAAATTAGTTATTTTAATTTATTTTTTATGAGAAAAAACGTAGAGAAAATGAAAAAAGAGACGTCACGAGATGTTTTGATTTTTTTTATTATTTTAGTCTAAAATAAAATAAAATCTCACCCGGGCATAGAAGGGTACTTTTGTCAAAGTGAAAGTACAGCCATACAGGAAAAAACATTGAGTTTAACGACTTGGCGTGTAGAAGTTGTCCATTGTGGGCATGTAGATGGATAAGGATGTCAACGCAAAAAAGAAAAAAAAAGTTGGAAATTACAGTGAATTTCTGCTCCCACTCTATCTATACTATACTATTCCTTCTCTGCCCTTTCTTACATTTTATTTTATTTTTATTTTTTGGGTACAATTATTATTATTATTTATACACACATATATGTATGTTTTTATTTTTTGTTTTTAGTTTTTTTGAATTTTAATTGGGATGCAATGGATACAGATAATAGTTTGTGCTAGCAGACGTTTCTACCGCCATATTCTTCTCATCTTTCTTTCCCAGATTCTTGTTTCATAGTGAGTGCCCATATGAGTCGAGCCTTTTTTTAGCTTCCCTCTCTCTCTCTCTCTCTCTCTCTCTCTCTCTCTACTTGCTTGTTCCTCTCATTTGTTTCCGTCATCTTTATAATTCTTGGTGAATTATTGCTTCACTCTCTGTCTTTTAACTTTCAAAGTTTGGCTTACTTGGAAGAGTCAAAAACTTACTACTACACCACCCACATCATCTTCATGTTTGATTTCTTGATTTTGTTATAAAGATTCTTTGTTGGTGGTCTCTTCTTGGGTTTTGTTTCTGATTTGATTTCTAAATTTTGGGAATCTTTGTTTGGGAGTTTGGTCCATTTCTCCTTCTGGGTTTTTGGTTGGTAGCTGAGAGGATAAAAATCAAAATTCTGTTTGGGAACTGGGAATTCGAATCTAGTGGACCTTTGATTCTCTCTGGTGGGTGTGTTTGGGATTTTCTTATCTTTTTATTTTTCTGGGTTTTCTTGCATTTTAATTGTGAAGCTATATTGGGTGGATAAGGAAGCATCTTCTCTCACCTCTTTTCAATCTACGGAATTTGGATTTGGAATTGGAGTTGGAGGTGGTGGGCTCATCTTCTTCCTACTTCTTTGCTTCTTTCAACTTTGAATTTTTAAATTTTTATGTTAGGTCGTCTAACTAAGTTTCTGTAGATTTGACAGTGGTGGAGTTCAATTTTTTTTTTTCTTTTTTTATTTTATGAAGTTAAAAAGCAGCCAAGACCCAGTTCAATCTGATACTGTTTGAACTCTTTTCTGGTTACTGTTGTGGATGAGTTTTCTTCATGTAATTGGGTTTGGCTTGAAGGTTGGCCACCTACTGTTGATGCTATGTTGCTGGCTTTTCTCTGTGATTTCCATGAATTGGTTCATTAATGGTGGAATCATGGAAACCAAGACTGGTTTTCTTGGTGATGGCACAAAGATTTGGGTGAAATTTTGGGAGATGATCTCAGAAATCACTAGTAAGATCCACCATCGATACTACCAGTATATTGGGTCCAAGAAAGTGAGAAAAACATGGTGGAAGAACCTTTTGGTCACTTGGATTGTTTTCTGGACCTTAGCGTCTTTGTCTGTGTTCTGGTACATGAGCTCCCAAGCTGTGGAGAAGAGGAAAGAAACCCTTGCAAGCATGTGTGATGAGAGAGCTAGAATGTTACAAGATCAGTTTAATGTCAGTATGAATCATGTACAAGCTATGTCCATTGTGATTTCAACTTTCCACCATGGAAAAAGGCCATCTGCTATTGATCAGGTATAGTTTGATCTTCCTTCATTTCTGTGAAGTTTATGATACCAAATTGGGTTTAACTCAACATGGTGTTCAGTGCTGAGCTTATCTTAGAATCATATTTGATTTATTCTCCTCGTTAATTGGTTAAGCAAGAACCCATCTGCTATTGATCAGGTTGATCTTCATTTCTGTGAAGTTTATGATACCAAATTGCATAGAAATTGAAAATTCTTTGTCTAATTGCCTTAACTCAACATGGGTGTTCACTGCTTTAGCTTATCTTAGAATCATATTTGATTTATTCTCCTCCTTAATTGGATAAGCAAGAACCCTTCTGCTATTGATCAGGAAAAATTTGATCTTCCTTCATCTCTGTGAAGTTTATGATTACCAAATTGGGTAGAAACCGAAAATTCTTTGCCTAATTTCCTAATTTTTCTTTAACTCAATATGGGTGTTCAGTGCTCAGCTTACCTTTTAGAATAATATTTGATTTACTCTCCTCCTTAATTGGTTAATTCTGAACAAATTTTGGATACCACACATGTTGTGACTATCTATATATTTCCATTCCTGTAATTTATTCCCACAATCTGGCCTATTCCTCATGAGTTGTCTTTGTTTGTAATGTTAAAAATGGTATATTTGAATTGAATTAAGCTCAACATGTGAAATAATGTCCTGTGCATATAGGTTGATTCAGAACAAGCTTCTGTTTCTTTTCTTCTTTTGCGTCTGATCTGTGATGTCCATTTAGTGAAACAATCTAACTTTATGAACCGATAGATGACTTTTGCAAGGTACACGGAAAGAACAGCTTTTGAGAGGCCCCTTACAAGTGGCGTGGCATATGCTGTGAGGGTGTTGCACTCTGAAAGGGAACAATTCGAGAAGCAACAAGGCTGGACAATTCGGAGGATGGACACTCTTGAACAAACTCCAGTCCATAAGGACGAGTATAACCCAGAAATCCTCGAGCCATCCCCAATACAGGAGGAATATGCTCCTGTTATCTTCGCACAGGACATTATTTCACATGTCGTTTCCATTGATATGCTGTCAGGCAAGGTGAATTCTTTGTTTATTTTCTTGCATATTTATTGGGATTTAGCAAATTTTGGCCTTATACCAACTGAAAAAAATATGGTGGTAGATTCAATATGGTGATAAAAATATGGTGAATTCTTTGTTTCCATTGATATGCTGTCGGGCATGGTGAACGCTTTTTTTAGTAGTGTATTGAGACTCAATCTTTCGGATTCAGAGCAGACTATTAGTTTTCAAGTGAAAGATGGTTTTTTACAATCATACTTTGGTTTGAAACTCTTTTGTTAACATTTCTGAATTATACATGCCAAAAAGAAGAAACGTTATGTAAATCATACTACTGCCTTATTTAATCAATGAAAAGAAAAAGAAATAGTAATTTTGATTTGACTATTTATTACAACATAGTCAATCTTGACAACTTGTGTACCAACAGGAAGATTGTGAAAATGTGCTGCGCGCAAGAGAATCCGGAACAGGGGTTCTCACTGCGCCTTTTCCGCTACTCAAATCAAATCGCCTTGGAGTCATATTGACTTTTGCCGTCTACAAGTCAGATCTTCCCTCAAATGCAACACCAAATGAGAGGATTCAAGCAACTGATGGGTAAGTTGTCTACCTATAAATCATGATTTACCATTCGCTCCTTAAGGGTAATAGTGAATGGAAGAAATAAGTATAAAAGGATGACAATATAGAAGTGAATCTATGCGTAATAAATTGTATTAAAAAAATCAACTGATAAAATTAAGCTAGTTGGAGTGTTGTCTGAGCAACCCTTGAGTGATCAGTGCAACTAGAATTTTTAGGATGCAAACAAGATTTGAAAATATCAAATTACATAAGAAACTCCTTTAATGTTTCCCTGCTTACACGCAGGTACCTTGGTGGAGTCTTTGATATTGAATCGCTTGTGGAGAAGTTACTTCAACAACTTGCAAGCAAACAAACCATCATTGTGAATGTGTTTGACACGACGAATTCTTCACGCCCTATCAGCATGTATGGCTCTAATGTATCATATGATGGGTTAGAGCATGTTAGCATACTCAACTTCGGGGATCCGTTCAGAAAACATGAGATGCGTTGCAGGTGATCTATATATTCCTCTCTATTACTAAATATTTTTGTACTCTACCTTCCTATGATACTAGCCCCTCCAGTCTAGTGTGTTAATTTACCAATTTTGCCCCTTCTACATACAATAGGCCTGTTTGGTGTAGCTTATTGTATGCTAAAAGCTAATTATCATAAAGCATAAAAGCTGTGAGAATATATTCATATCTATTCTGTATATTGTATATATTCTGTATATATTTATATTAGGCATGTTTGATATCCCTTTGATTGTATAGGGATTCTATTTCCTTTTTTTAATCTTTGTCTTAAGGCTATATAAACGGTTGTGTAGTTTGTAAATATACAATTGAATATACAGAAATCTTACATGGCATCAAAGCTAGGTTTCAAATCCTAGTGTCGCTCGCTCTCGGCTTCTCCTTCGCTGGTCCAGATTTGTTGGCTTTGTCTCTTTCTAAGTCGACTCCTCTATGACTTCTCATCAGCAGTTGCTGTTTGCTGCTGGCATCGCAATTGTGACCTCTCGACTCACAATCGCGATCTTCCTCTCTGGTTGTTGCTTCAACCGCTGATCTTCTTGTTTGAAGACTTCTGGTTCAGCTTCGCTGGTTCTCTAGTTTGCCCCTGCTGGTTCTCTTGGTCATCTCTCTCTCGCGGTGGTTCGTGAAGCTTCTCTCCCTCTCTGTCGAATGTCTCTCTCTTGCGAAGACGTGTAACCTCTGGTTTTGTCCTCTCTCTTCTGATTATCTGATTCACTGTTTTGATCTAGTAAATAAAGAGTTTATTTACACTTTAGCCCTTTAGTTTGTGATTATCTGGTTATTTGGTGTCAATTTTTTGAGTTATTATACTTCGCCCATCATCTTTGTTTTATTATAATGTCGGACATTAAAATCCAAGCCATCAAACGCAAACTCACTGTTGGCAATTATGCCTATTGGGCCAGTGTTATGATGAATTTTCCTCTTGGTTAGAAAAAAATGAGATTATGTTTCTAGCTCTGTTCCCTGTCCATCAGACCCGAAAATGGAAGGATACTTGATTTCCTGTGATATTTGGGATTGTGATAATGCCCAAGTTCTGACCTGGTTTCATAATTCAGTCCTGCATCACTGCTAAGGTGGTGTGGGACTATTTATAGGGTGTTTATCAGCAATCCAATTTTGCTAAGCGGTATGAGTTGAAAACAGCTATTTAGGGTGCTCGTTAGCGGGATCAGTCCATTTAGGTTTTCTATATTGAGATGACAGGTCTCTTGGATCAGTTGACTCTTATGGAACCATCTAGCCTTAAGGTTATAGATGCTTATGTTGAGTTTTATGAACAGGGTGGTCTAGTGCAGTTCTTAACAGTTCTCTCTCCTCAGTATGAGGCTATTCGTGATGGCATATTTCACCGGTCACCTCTTCCCTCTGTAGATGCTATTGTTTGTGAGCTCCTCTTGGAGGAAACTCACTTAAGACGGTCAGTCAGACTTCATCTCCATCTGTCTTCCTAGCTCCTGTTCAACCTCCGTTGCTATCGACGCCACATCCTCATAAACTTCAGGCCTCTACGAAACCCAAAAAGGGACCCCTGGCTTCAGATGAGTGTGTTTTTTGCCATCAAAAGGGGCATTGGAAGTACAATTGTCCTAAGAAGGGATGTGCATCTTCTCAACAATCTCAATCACAGTCCCGAGCTCCTCCTCAGAGTGCTTTCCGGCCTCCTGCTACTTATACTGCATCTACTCCGGCTCCCGATCTTGACTTAGCTCCCTTGAGTGCTCAAATTGCTCAATTTCAACATATCCTGTTTATCTCTCAGCCATCCCCATCTGCCTCCGCTTTTATCTCTCTTCATTCAAGTCTACTTGGGTTCTCTTCAGATATCCCTTCTTCTGTCTGGCTTTTTGATTCTGGCGCCTCTCATCATATGACTACTTACATTTTCTTACTTTAAAACTATATTCCCCCACTCGTTCTTATTACCATTAATACTACTAATGGGTCTGGTATGATTGTTTTGTCTATTGGGTCTGTCTTACTCTCTATCTTATCTGCCGTTATTATTCTCTCTATTCTTTATGTTTCTCAGTTATCTGTCAGTTTATTATCTATCAGTCAACTTGATGCTTTTGGTTTTGATGTTATCTTTTCCTCTTTTGTCTGTTGCATGCAGGATCGGGTGTCCAAGAAGTAGATTAGGACTGGCTGTAAAGTTGGAGATCTCTATGTAGTAGAAAGCTTGCATCTCCCTTTATCTACCTCTCCAGTTGCACTTTCTTCGTTTCAGTTAGATTCTCAGTCGAGTCAGCTTTATTTATGGCATTTTTGCCTAGATCATTTGTCTATTGACCGCTTACGGTCTTTAGCTTAGTCAGAATTATTGGGTAAAGTTTCTCCTAGTCAAATTGATGAATGTTAGAGGTGTAAACTTGCTAAAATGTCAGCTTTACCATTTAATAAAAGTATTTATATTTATGTTTTTCCTTTTTCTCTTGTGCATTTGGGGACCATCTCCTGTTCTCACTAAAAGGGGTTCTGCATACTATGTGTCTTTTGTTGATGATTGCACCCGCTATACCTGGGTTTATCTTATGACTCATAAATTTGACTTCTACCAAATATATCGTAACTTTTAGTCTATGATCACTACACAGTTTGGGTTTACCATTAAATTGTTATGGTCTAACTTAGGTGGGAAGTATTTTAAAACTGAGTTCTGTGAGTATCTGACCAATTTCGGTACTATTCACCAAACTTCCTGTACCGATACACTCGCCCAAAATGGTCGTGCTGAGCGTAAATACTGTCATCTCCTTAAGACAATTAGATCTCTCCTTATTTTTGCCTCTATTCCAGCTCCCTTTTGGGGGGAAGCCGTTCTTACAACTGCTTTTCTTCTCAACCGCATGCCTACCCCCTACTTTTTAGTCATTCTCCTTATGAGGCTCTGTTGTTCCAACGCCCCAATTACTCTCTCTTTCGTGTTTTTGTGTCTACATGTTTTGTCCTTCTTCCCCAGAAAGATAGGATAAAACTTAGTGTCCGGTCTGTCTTATGTGTCATTTTGGGGTACAGTCTTACTCAAAAAGGCTATCGTTGTTACGATCCAATTTCCCACCGTCTTTATGTCTCCTTCCATGTTGTTTTCCTGGAATGTCTAGCTTACTTTCAGCTTCCTCCTTTCATTACTCCGGTTTCTTAAAAGGATTTGGTTCACCTTGATACATTTCCTTCTGAGGTCCATTCTGATGAGTACATCTCTACTGTCCACCATGACTTTGTTCCTTCTTCTCTTCCTACCCCTCCTGCTGAGTCCTTCTCCACTGTCTCCCATGAGTTTGTTCTAGCCTCTCCATCTTCTCCCCCGACTGCTCCTTCTCCTCTTCCGTTGTCAGTCTATTCTTGTCTCAAGGCTTTCCCTCTACCAATTGTCTCTGCTTCTGCTACTGATCCTTCTGCTTCTGCTGACCCTGATCTTGCTAACCATAAGTATCCCTTTTGCATCCGTAAACAAGTAGTCAAACTTGATTTTTCTTAAAACATGTTTTTCTCTTTCATTCTGTACGTTTTTATCTGTTATTCACTCTTTTTCAGAACCTCAGGCTTACAAGGAGGCTTGTCAGGATCATAATTGGATTCGAGCAATGGATGATGAGTTGTCTGCATTGCAGAAGACTAGTACTTGAGAGCTAGTTCCTCTACCTGCTAGCAAGAATCTGATCGGTTACAATTGGGTCTATAAAGTCAAGACTCATTATAATGGTTCTCTCAAGCGCTACAAAGCTCACCTGGTTGCCAAAGGTTACTCACAAAAGTATGGTATTGATTACGAGGAGACTTTTGCCCTTGTTGTCAAGATGACTACTGTCCGTACTTTGATTTCTGTTGCTGTTGTTCGTCATTGGCCTCTTTATCAGATAAATGTTAAGAATGTTTTTCTTAATGGCCATCTCACTGAGGAGGATTACATGCGTCCTCCTCCTGACCTTCACCATTCCTTTGGACAAGTTTGTCGTCTTCGGCGTGCTCTGTATGGTTTGAAGCAATCTCTTCATACTTGGTATGATCGCTTTCAGACAATTGTTACTGAGCTTGGGTTTCATCCTTGTACCCACGACTCTACCTTGCTTTCCCTCCACACCTTTGTTGATTTTGTTGCCTTATTACTGTATGTGGATTATATGATTATCACTGGTTCTAACTTGTCCGCTATCTCTAAGGCCAAGTAGTATCTCTTCTGCATTTTCGAAATAAAGGATCTGTGACCATTGCGGTATTTTCTTGGTATTGAGGTGGCTTCTTCTCCCAAAGGTTACTTTTTGTCTTAGGCCAAGTATGCCAATGAGGTTATTCATCTTGTCGGTCTTACTGACACTAAGATTTCTGATACCCCCGTTAAACTTAATGTGAAGCTCAATACTACTGATGATATCCCTCTGGCTAATCCGACTGTATATCGAGGGCTTGTGGATTACTTAGTCTATCTAACGGTTACTCGCCCTGATCTGGCCTATGCTGTTCATGTGGTTAGCCAGTTCGTTTCTACTCCTCGCTCTATCCATTGGGTTAGTTTGCTTTGGATTCTTCGTTATCTTCGTGGTACTATCTTCCAAGGCTTGCTGTTGTCTTCTACTTCATCGTTAGATTTGGTGGCCTATGCTTATGCTGATGCTGATTAGGCTGGTGATGTTACTGATCGTAAGTCCGCTTCTGGTTTCTATATGTTTCTTGGTGATTCCTTGATTTCTTAGAAAAGTAAGAAACAAACTGTTGTTACCTGTTCTACTGCTGAAACTGAGTACCGTGTTATGACTCATGTTATTGCTGAAGTTGTCTGACTTTGTTGTCCCTCTGTCTTCCCCGACCTCTCTCTACTGTGACAACCGTAGTACTATTCCGATTGCTCATAACATTGTCTTTCATGAATGGACGAAACATATTGAGATTGATTGTCACTTTGTTCGTCAGCATCTGCAATCTGGCTCTATCTCACTTCCATTTGTCACGTCGTCGTTGCAACTTGCTGATTTCTTTACCAAGACTCACACCATTGCTTGGTTTCGGTTTCTTCAAAGACAAACTCACAGTGTTTTCTGCTAAAATACCTTGAGTTTGAGCGGGGGCGTGAGAATATATTCGCATCTATTCTATATATTGTATATATTTATATTAGGCATGTTTGATATCCCTTGATTGTATCGGGATTTTATTTCTTTTTTTTAATCTTTGTCTTAGGGCTATATAAACAGTTGTGTAGTTTGTAAATATACAATTGAATATACAGAAATCTTACAATAGCATCCATTCTCTTGCTTCTCAATAATCAGCTTATTTAAGTTATTTCTGTCTCATAAGTTACAAGCAAAAGCTATACTAAACACTTTGGCAAATATGAAATTAATAACCTCCCTCTACTCTGATGTGTGGTTTCATTGGTGCTTAATGAATCAGAGAAGCTTGTATCTGACAGGGGTGGGCGTGAATTCTTAGTGATTGAGATGGAATTATTACAACTAAGTTTGTTCTTGAAACAGATTCAATCAAAAACCACCATGGCCATGGTTAGCAATAATGATATCTATTGGCATCCTTGTCATTGCATTGCTTGTTGGGCATATATTCCACGCAACAGTGAATCGAATAGCTAAAGTTGAGGATGATTACCAGAAGATGATGGAACTCAAGAAACGAGCCGAGGCAGCTGATGTTGCAAAATCACAGGTATTTGATAGTTGTAGTTTCTTCATTGAAACTTTGTTTACCCGATATGTCTACATGGTCCTAATTGTATTTCAACCCTCCGTAGTTCCTTGCTACTGTGTCCCATGAGATCAGAACCCCAATGAATGGCGTTCTTGGTAAGTTTTTGTTATTCCTGTGTCATTTTGAGTCATTTCAATGCACTGCCATAGTAAATAAATAAGGGGTTGTTGAGTGTTGTCTAAATATGTTTATTCAACAGGAATGTTGCATATGCTCATGGATACAGAATTGGATGTAACTCAACAAGACTATGTCAGAACAGCCCAGGCCAGTGGAAAAGCTCTGGTTTCACTAATAAACGAGGTTTTGGATCAAGCGAAGATCGAGTCTGGTAAACTCGAGCTTGAGGCAGTTCAATTTGATCTGCGAGCAATTTTGGATGATGTGTTGTCGCTTTTTTCTGGAAAGTCTCAAGAAAAAGGATTAGAGGTAGTCAATACATCTCACTTTTCATTGTTTTCTCCGAATTTTTGTTCCTGTTTTATAAAATTAAACGATCTCTTGTCTAATTTAATTGGTTGAGCAGCTTGCAGTTTACATCTCTGATAAAGTTCCCAAGATGCTGATTGGAGATCCAGGTAGATTTCGGCAAATCATCACAAATCTTATGGGTAATTCAATCAAGGTAATTATGCATCAGCTTCTCAAATTTTATTGAATATATGGGAAAACAATTAGGGCTTTAAAAAAGTTGAATTTTGTTTGCAATCAATCAAGAGGAGGGGGGGGGGGGGGGAGGGAAACATGGTCTAATAGGAGACTTGGTCATGGGAATCTATACAATCTTTATTCTTTCTAAAGCACAATTAATTTCTTTTATTTGAATATTATCCACTCAAGAGGAGAAAAGCATTACATGGTCAACATGGGAATCTATTCAGGGATCGTTTTTTCAAAAGCAAAAAATGATTCTGATATGTGAATTAAAATAATCTGTTAAATATCCAAATGAAACTTTTGGTTTTATGAAATGGGTACCAATTAAAAACATTTGCAAACACTTCCGTGTGAGTTTGTTACATGTTCTTTTTTCCTTGGAACTAGCTTGGAAATTGATGATCTATTTATTTGGCAGTTCACTGAGAAGGGGCACATTTTCGTGACAGTCCATCTCGTTGAGGAGGTGATGGAATCCATAGAAGTTGAGATAGAATCATCGTCCAAGAACACGTTAAGCGGATTTCCCGTGGCTGATAGACGTCAGAGCTGGGCTGGATTCAGAACTTTCAGTCAAGATCGACCTTCTTGTCCTCTCTCATCATCATCCTCCGGCCTCATCAATGTGATTGTATCGGTGGAGGACACAGGTGTTGGGATCCCTTTAGATGCCCAACCTCGTGTTTTCACTCCCTTCATGCAGGTGGGCCCCTCAATCTCCCGAATACATGGGGGCACAGGGATTGGGCTGAGCATAAGCAAGTGTTTGGTTAACCTCATGAATGGTGAAATTGGGTTCGCAAGCTTACCCAAAATCGGGTCCACTTTCACTTTCACTGCTGCATTCACGAATATCTGTTCCAATACCAGCGAGCCTAAGAAGCAGCAAATAAGCAACCAATCTAATCCCATTTCTTCAGAATTTCGGGGCATAACGGCTTTAATTGTGGACTCCAGACCAGTCCGGGCCAAGATGTCAAGATATCACGTCCAGCGGCTTGGAATTCATGTTCAAATGGCTCCTGATTTGAATCAAGCTTTCTCTAGCATAGCCAGTGGGAATTCAGTTATTGACATGATCCTAGTAGAACAAGAAGTTTGGGATAAGGACTCGGCTTTGTCGACTATCTTAGTCAATAAATTAAGAAAAGTAGATCATGGCGTGCCTCCAAAATTGTTTATTCTATCTAATTCCATCAGTTCTACGAAAAGTAGTTTAGCAACTTCTGGCGTTTGTACCCCAAATTTCATTATGAAGCCACTGAGAGCAAGTATGTTAGCAGCATCGCTACAACGAGCCATGGGTGTTGGGAATAAGGGGAATTGCCGCAATGGAGAGGTCCCCAGTGTGTCTCTTCGCAATTTGCTTCTCGGGAGAAAAATTTTAGTTGTAGATGACAATAATGTAAACCTCAGAGTAGCTGCCGGTGCCTTGAAGAAATATGGAGCTGAAGTGGTCTGTGCAGATAGTGGCAAGAAGGCAATCTCGCTGCTAAAGCCCCCCCATAAATTTGATGCCTGCTTCATGGATATTCAGATGCCAGAAATGGACGGGTATGCAAAAATTATCAATTTTAAACCTTATTTTTTAGAGAATAATAGCTTGTGGACCAATTCTTCAATTGTGCTAAAAAAAAAATTTATTTTACTTATACGTATATTTGTAGTAATCAACTCCACCAGTGTTTAACTAACATGGGATGCAATATTTTTTTTAAAAAATTTATGAATTTATTTGGTTTAACTAAGCATGTAGCCATTGACAAGTGAAATGGCAAAAATATTGTTGTGGGTGTTTCCTATTCCTACCCGGTTTGTGCTTATGACTAGGTCCGATCATGTTCTTGTTGTCTTCGGATCTTAGTATATATTATGGGTTATTTGGGGGATTAGAGTGAACTCTTGTCACTGACAGCTTTGAGAGAGACAACCGCTCCTTAGAATATCTCTTTCTTCGATAGTAAAAAAGGATATGAAATTTTTAATTTAACTAAGCAAATAGTCATTGATAGAGCATAATGACAAAAATATTATATTATTTTAATTTTCTTTCCTTGTGAATCATGTCTATATATCGTCCTTCCTTATAGGTTTGAAGCTACAAAAAGAATCCGAGACATGGAACTCAACATCAATAATTGCATCCAACAGGGAGAACTATCAGTGGAAGCTTACGAAAATGTTTCAGATTGGCACTTGCCAATTTTGGCTATGACGGCGGATGTAATTCAGGCTACACATGAGGCGTGCCTAAAGTGTGGAATGGACGGATATGTTTCAAAACCATTTGAAGCTGAACAACTTTACCGGGAAGTTTCACGCTTTTTCCATACTGCATCATCAGATCAGAGCTCTTAGATAGGACTTACTGGTGAAAAATGACTCCAGCTTAAGTGCCTGTTCTTCGAACTTCGGAATGCTAAAGTGGGTTTTGGGGTTTTTGCCAATGGTGAGTTCTCTAGTAATCTTTTTATTGTAAATTCCAATACAAATTCCATTTAATATTGTAATTATAGTATTATGCCAAGTTCTTACAATTGTTTCTCAATATTTATTTGTAGGTGAAAAGCTGGCATAGCTGATTTACCTTTTTCCTGAAATTTTACAGGAAAATTGTTAGCTTTCAGAGTGTACATACAAGCAATGCTCTTTATAGGTGAGGGGTTCCACTTTCTAGCATGCCCAATTCTTTTTTCGGTTTTGTTGTAAAGTTGGCATCATCTTTGTAGCAGTAGACAGGCTCCCGAGGATTGTACCATAGAATCTCTGGGGTTGTACTCGCTTCTCGTTCAAAGAACACGAGGTTGCTATTATTTGATGAAGTGTCACGTTCTCTCTGTTTTGCCCTCGGGAGGTTCTAAATTTGTATCATAGAGATTGATTTAGTGGCTAGAATGGAACATAGCGGCTTAGCGACAGAGAAGAGTGGATTGTGTATATTTTAGGTTGAATAAAAATGGAATGATACGTACTCACAGTAGCCCATTTTTCTCATCGGTTTTGTTTCGAAAGGTGCAAAAAAAAAAATGTATGTTCTATTAAGAACTGATGTAATTATCACAGTAAACCAATTTGAGTTGTTTCACAGTTTTTGGCCAATTTGTACAATTTACTTTGAAGGATCAACATGACTTATTAGGACCTTTTGTTTATGATGCGCTAGCCTATCACCTGTGCATAGCACAGGATAATTATACATATTTATATTTGTTTTAAATTTTTTAATATATAAATTATGTTTTTTAAGATTTTTTATAAAAATAATTTAACAATCTTATCACTAATTATAGTGTACAGGAGAAATTAAAAAGGTTACTGCAGTAATTATGCACGGATTGTATCTATAATTATTTGTATGAGGGAATTTTAAATGCTAATTAGAGATTTTGACCATATAATTATTTGTATGAGGGGATTTTAAATTTGCGCCTTCACTACTACTTATGAGTTTTGTGAGATGGTAAACACTTGATCCTACATTCACCTTTTAAAAATGAAAATTATTTTTTGTCTAACAAATTTATTTTTGATTGACCACAAAAATAAGTTCTTCGTTCTTTCGTATTTTGAAAATGAGGACAACATATTTTGGGTTCGTTGGGGATGTGAGTTGACTTTTTGACTTTTTAACTATTTTAGCCTGAGACTAAAAAGTCTCATTTGAGATAAGTTTTTTTAGTTTTTTTCATTTTTGTGAGAGAAAAAAGAAAATGATTATGGTTTGAATGTAACATTTTGTCTTATTTAGTTAAAAAACTTATTTTATCTTTTTGTGACTATTTTAACTAAAAAATCCAATTTTAACTTATGGCAAACGAAGACTTTAAAAAATAATCCCAGTCAAAACAAACAGATTGTTTAACTCAAATTAAAGTGAAAGAAGTTTGAGACTAAAAATTGGAATAGTTGGTCTTGAACTGGACTACATATATGTGTAACTAAGGTTTTACTAGTACTTGGTAATTATTGGCCAAAACAATTTAAGTCAAGTTTGGCATAATAATATAAAAAGTCAAAAAGTCACTATCCTATTTAAGTCACATCATCTTATTTAAATCACATCACCTCTCTAACACATCACATCAAACCCAACCCAAACCCAGCCCATAAAAGTCAATAAGTCAAAAAGTGTACTTTTTTAGAACATCCCAAACCAACCCTTAATATATAGTAGAGATTGTGATTATTCTTGCTCCCCCAATTTAGGAAGATGGAAATCGCCAGTTAGGTTTGTACAACCAAGAAAAGCATGGGTTTGGGCGAAAGATTTCTCGTTGCACATTTTTTATTTGTCTCTCTCTATCATTGACTTCCTGCCTTGGTTATGAATCGGATAAAACAATGGGAAGATAAAAATTCCAAATATACATGGTGTTGCCTGTTGAACTTGCTACCTTGATAAGCACCCTTCTAGGGCTCTCGATTTTTGAATACTAGGTTAACTAGGCTGCTCAAGTATTATGATGGTTGTGATTTGGGTTTGTTATATTTTGACAGTAGTTTTAATCACAACAATGGATTTCTTTCGCAACCTAATGCTATACTAGTCAACTAAGAGTGTGTTGGAGTCGAACTCGCTACCTTAATAAGTGACCAAGTAAACATTTCTCGTTTTTAAATTTTCATACAAAAACAAAAATAAAATGGTATTTTCAATTATGACTCTAATATGTAAAATGTATCTTTTCTCTTCTCACTATTGTGTATAAAATATGTTGTATTCTATGATTATATGTTTTCTTCATTTTCATTGAAATTTGATTATACGATGACAAATAGTTTATGCAACTTAAGGTTGGCTAAAAACTTCGAAGGAAATTAAGGTTGCAGCAAATTAATATTGATATATATAATTATTAATTTACCACGATTTGTCATCAGTCGTCGATATGTCCGAGTGGTTAAGGAGACAGACTTGAAATCTGTTGGGCTTCGCCCGCGCAGGTTCGAACCCTGCTGTCGACGTGTTTTTTGGTTCATCCATTTTATTGCTACATTTACCATTTTTTTTATAAACAAAATCTTATATAAAAAAGAAAATGTTAAATATAGCATTAGTTACTAGTAACGTTACAATAATGTACCTACCAAAAGTTAATTATTAGTAGGACTACACAAAATATCGTTCAATTCATTAAAATTGCACTGCTTTAACTGTTATTTGCAGTTTGAATTTTAAAATTTATAGTCCACCTTCAAATCGCTTCGCTACGCTATAGTTAATATATATTTATTTTTTAATCTCTAATAAAATATCAAAGTAAAAATGAGTGTGAGAGAGATTTAAGATATGAAATTTATTACAAATTAGTAGTTATATATATGAAACATATTTTGTAAAATTACTTTGTGTTATATATATAAAAAAATTATACAAATTAATATTATATATTATGCAAATGTATGATAATTAGTAAGAATATTCTTTAATCCGTCAAAAATTGCCTAAACCGTAATTTGTCAATCCATTATTCGGTTTGTAATTTTACTCTCAAACTATTTGAATGGCACTGCGCACACACCCCTAATTAGCAGTGCAATTTAAATATTTAAAAATAAAAATAAAAAGGAAATCTTTTTAACAATTACTATTAGCGGTGTAATTCTTGTTTTTTCAAATAAAAATATTCCAACAGTGTAATTTAAGTAGGTTAAAAAAAAAATGATAAAAAGACAATCACATTACCTGTTCTTTCCTAAACTCAAAGTCAAGGTAAGGTTTCGAGTCTTGCATATTTTTTATATAAATTTTTTGTTTTAAATATAAAGGTGAAAAAAATGAGAGACACGTGACATAATAAGAAACTAGCATATCATCCGTGCATAAAAATAATCAAAAATTAGTTTTTAAATTAAAATAATATAAAATTTATTTAAAATATCTAGTAAAAATATTTATAATCAATTAAATTTTTTTTATTTTTATCCGAGTTACAAATAAGAGAAGTTTATTTTTTCTGATATCATTAATTGTGTGTTTTAAGTTCTTAATAAAAAATTACATGTCATGATTTAATTGGTAAAAATTAAAGAATAAATTACAAAAAGTATATATATGATAAAATATAAATACATTTCGTTTTATAAGTTTCATAAGTTTAATTTACCATATGATAGTAGTAAATTACATTTGTTAATATATTAATTTTTTTTCTTATTTTGTAAAGCTTAAAATTTGTCTACTCAAAATGATAAATTGTCGTATGTTATCTTACGTGAAAATAGATTATGATTGACTTGTGGTATTGGACTAAACATTAGAAATGATCTCGAAATTACTTGACTCAATATTTTAACCAATGCATCCTTCACCTAATCATTAAAATTGTCTTTATTGGTTCGCGACCAGTATGAACTAGTTTGGAGGTTTCAATATTAGATTAAATATTAAAAAATCGAGTTGATTTTTTTTTCCCCAACAATTCTCCGTTTAAGCCTATAATATATCATATTTCAATAGCTCAATATCATTAAAAAAAAAAAAATCTTAATGTTTGCAGTGTTTTTTATCAATTAATAAAAAATTTATAAACATTAAGAGAATTACATTTGAACAAATTCTAACATAAAATTTTTATTTTAAAATTTTAATACCTACACATTTTCTTTGGCTCTATAAATAATCTTTGAGATAGCAACTAAAATAAATTTCAATCATTATTATATGGAGATACATGTGAAATAAGAGACTGTGGTACACCATTTTAAAAAATAATATATCAAGAGAAATAATCTTTGAAAGATGTCAATCGACTCATATATTTTAGTGATACAAAAATCTAAATTTCAAAACTAATCATTTTCAAATTTTTAAATGAATTAATTAACTTTATTTTTTAAATGTGTAAATCAAGGCATAATAAGATTTTTTTTTAAATGATTCAATAAAAATTGGAAGGTTTTTTTTTTAAAAAAAATTAAAACAAATTAGTTAACTTTCCTTTTTAAATTTTTAAATTTAAAGTTATAAATAGATTAATTAACTTTCCCTTTTGAAATATGTAAATTAAGGCATAATAAGATTTTTTTTTTTAATGATTCAATAAAAGTTAGCCAATAAAAGATTTTTAAATTATTTAAAAACTAAGAATTATAGAAAAATGGTAGGAAGGTTTTGAGTTTCACAAGGCTTTTCTCATTAAAAATTTCTTTTCCTTAATATATAGTATAGATACTTGGACACCGAGTATATAGAAAAATTAGAGATGCATAACATAAGGTAACGAGAGACTGGTGACATAAGGAAAAGTAAGCAAACACTTGAATACCAAGTCTTAAACAAAGAAAATGAAAAAAATTAGAGATGCGCGGCATAAAGAAATGAGAGATGTGTGATATAAGGAGAAGCAAATAAAAACTTAAACCTTAAATCTTAATAGAGAAATAAGAAAAATTATAGATACGTGGCATAAAGAAATGAGAAACACGTAGATTTGTTTAGAAACAACCTACTTTAATATATTTATCGCCTCTTTATTTTATTTGAGTTATATTACTTTTTTACACATCAATGTTACCAAAATAGTTTATATCCAAGCAACCAAATAGATAAATGAGAAAAATGAGAGACATGTAACATAAAGAGAAATAAATAAATTGACACTAAATTTAGCCTTCAGGTAATATAATCATGTAGACAATTGCATAGTATTGGTACAAATCTTATGCGATTACATGACTTAGGATCAAAATCAATTGTCGACCAATTAATTAATTATAGTTTATGTGGGGATATATTTTCTGAGTACTAACACGTGGCAAAGTGACGCCGACGTGTCAGCCGAGGTGCCACGTGTCTTGGTCGTTGTGCCGAGGTCATCTCGGCTAGGCTGAGGTTGCCTCCGAAGATATCGGAATCCGAGATAAGCGGATAAGGGACAAGAGTCCTAGAATGAAGAGGGAACTCAACTTGGATATGGACAAGAGTCCTAGATTGGGAGAAGACTTCAGTTTGGGTAAAGATAAGACTCTTGTCGGTAAATTCCATCGCGATGCCTCGCCTCGCCCTTGTTTTCAATTGATCTCAGAAACTTGCACAAAGCTCCAGAAGGCTAAAACTCCACCTTGGGAAGGCCACCGACCGGTTATTAGCATGGGAGACCACCTGCCGACCACCCTT